TGGGGAGCCGCCGTAAATGTCAAGCCGCCGAAGAGGAAGGCATCGATTGCAATGGCAGATTGTGTGGTAAGTAGTTGAAGAGGGAGGGTGACATCTATGGGAAGCTCTCGTGCACAGTCGAGCAGGTGAGGACAGCGACAGATGAATCGATAGCATGAGCAGTGAAGAAGCTTTTCTGCGCAAGGTTTAGGGATTGACCAAGGTAGTAAGTTTAATAAAACTTATTTAATTGATTTAATAATAAAACTTAATAATAAGAAAAACAATAATAAGATATATATATATATATATTGAAAAAAAATTAAACGGGAGTAGATGAAGTAAAGTTAACAGTTTATTAAAATAATAAATTAATTAAATTTTATAACATGTTTATTTTATACTTTCAATTTTTATAGGAGTTTTAGATTCGACTTGTGTTAAGAAAGGCAGAGGTAGACCAAGGAAGACTTGGGCTTATTGCATTAAAAACGATCTTAATTTACTAGAACTAAATGAAAATATGACACTAAATAGGACGCAATGGAGAAAAAGGATTCATGTAGCCAACCCCACGTAGTGGGATTAAGGCTTTGTTGTTGTTGATCGAGGTGAGTACTCATGTTCTTATACTATGATAATATTTCGTTTTTTCTCGACCAAATGCAATTTATTGTTACTGTTTTAGTACTACAAACCCATAATTTATGAATCTATTGAATTTTATTCATATTGCAAGAACAGCCTGTAAGCTCGGCTTTGTTTAAATTATCAATATATCTTGTACAAGAATCTGTTATGCAGATGAGAATGAAATATTTATTAATAAAAATGTAATATTTTATAGTAAGCTTGTATGTGTATGTTTGACTGATTGATTTACCCTTTCATAGTACTAGTGAAGGAAACTAGTTGGAGAACGCTAAGGTACTCGTGCACGTACATGAAAAAAAATATTGATATTAAAGTATCTTAAATGGTATGTTTTTAGATCACGCTTCTATGACGGTTGCACAGATATTAAACGATATTTGTATGCTATTGATATAGTAAGATTTATTGAATAGCATGTTAACTGTTTATATCTTAAACTTCCATTTCATTAAGTTTTAAATGTTGTTGAATGGACTATCTTAAATAGATGTAATTAAACTAAATTACTTTGTAACATGTATGATTTTGAAATATTCTATACTTCAGAAGCATTGTTAAAGGTGAGTAGAGTGTTATTTTTTGTTGTTTGATGAGACAAAGTGAGGCCATGTGCCTCTCACGGTTCCTATGCATCTGCCATTAATAATGAATATTAAATTCATAAAAATATTATAAGAAAAATATTACCTTTTTAATAAACATACAAGCTCCATCAGAGCCAAACATGCACATATAAACATACTATAAAAATTTAATAATAAAACTTATTAAATTTTAATAATAAGTTTAATAAAACATGAAAGATCTCTCTGACTTGTTCAAGCCCTAAACCATGCTTAGAAAAGCTTTTTCCTCTCTGACTTGTTCAAGCCCTAAACCATGCTTAGAAAAGCTTTTTCCTCTCTGACTTGTTCAAGCCCTAAACCATGCTTAGAAAAGCTTTTTCCTCTCTGACTTGTTCAAGCCCTAAACCATGAAAGATCTCTCAATAGAGGGGTGCACCGTTAAGTTTAAGCAGCTTATATTGAAATATGAGCTGGTAGAGCCCGAAGAAAATACCATTGTTCGATATATTTAAGGATTCAAACCATCTATTGGCAACGTGGTGTAGCTACAGCTCAATTCGATATAATAGAATATTTAAACCTTATCTCTGAACGTGAAGAGACAACACAGTAATATTAAGTGCACACTACAGTTCAAATTGGTTCAACTATTATATCGGGCAACAAAAATACACCAACCAGAGGGTCAAGATAAATCCCCCATGAGAAGAATTCATCACATGAGAAAAAAAGAACTGATTAGGACAAGAAGCCTAAGACATTTCCAGCTAGTAAATACTTCAAGTGTCATGAATACGTGCACATTGTCTCCAACTGCATGAACTAGAGTAATTTTTTTATGGAACAAAGTGTGATCGATGGGGCAGGGAGTGAAGGCCCAAGGGATTAGGAGGCTCGAGAATACCAGGTACGTGCAGATGATAATGAGATGTTTGTGATTTGACGAGCTCTCTAAAACGAGCCTAAGACCAATCAACAATGGCATAAAAATAATACCTATCAAGCTCATTGCTTTATGAAAGAGAAGGTATACAATTTTCTAATAGACGGAGACAGTTATGATAATGTGATATCTATACAGATGATAGACAAATTGCTATCCACAAATATCCCAACAATATTCTCTTTGTTGAAGAAGGTGTATAAATCAATGCCAACAAGAAGTGTCTCAAAAAATTTTAAATTAGAGACAAGTTGCATGATCATGTGAGGTGAGGTGTGATACCAAACCTACAGATGTGTGTTACATTCTTATGGATCAAATTACATTAATTTTTATAATATCTTAAATCATTCATCCAGTAAACGAGAAAAAACTCGAGAGGTCAAAACAAAATAAATATCATTAACAACGCGTGTACTTAATTAAAAGCAATTTGAAAACCCTTGAGCCATAAATTTGCAAATGTCTTCTAGTGCAATCAGAGCTATCCATTGTGACAATTTTATGTATTTGATTGGTGATAAAAAAAGAAATCTTTAAAAAAATTCTAATCTACATTATAGTCCATACTACTTTTAGAGAATGTAAATTTTGATCATGCATCTGAAGATCATAACATCACAATCTAAGTAAATAGAATTCATTCTTATACACAAATTTAAATTTGTTATGAGCACATGTGCCTATATTTTTAGAGAAAACAGAAGAAGAATGAGAAGTGTGGTATGGTAGAGAAGATTTGGAGATGAAGAAAAATTTTAACCGGGAAAAACTAATCATTTCATGAGGGATAGTGGCAAATTTGACTTCTTTGGAAAAAAACGATAAAAAGATGATTTTTTTACATAAAAGTCTAACAATTTAATTTTCAAAACTTCTAGACCAAATTGTAAGCTAACACAAATAACAAGGAACTAAAAATTATATGTCACTGTTACATTATTATCTAGAGATGGATTCATAAAGTACAGGAAACATAAATAATAATATTACTACTTTGCATGTCTTTGTGTGCGTGCACGACTAGATAAGAGAGAGTCTATCATAATTTAGACAATATTATTCCAATGATATGAAAAAAAAATCTAATTTACTGTGACGTAGAATATTTACTCTATTGTCAAAACCTACTTCTCCACTTCAAAAAAAAAAAAAAAAAAAATTAAGAAATATAATTTCCTGACCTGATTAACAAACTTCTTACGAAGATGTTGTGCAAGAACGACAGCATCTAGCTGCAAATAAAAACATCAAGTAAACATCAAACAACAAAATTCATTCAATCAGCAATGGGTATAAAATAATACTTTAAGTTATTTGTTGAAAATTATATGGTTTACGCCTTATGTGATTTCAATATTGGACTGCACCTCTTCATTTCTATTTGCTTTTGCTTTCACATTGTCCAGCTCAAGCGTAAGCAATGCTAGAGAAAAACAAGATGGCGGAAAAAATCTGAACGGGAATCCATTATGTTAAATAAGAAAACAGAGATAAAGGCAATCTAAAGAAACATAACCAAATTAAGATACGAGGAAAAGATTTTTTTAAAAAAAGTCTCACGTAATAACAGATATTTGATCGCCGGCCGAGACTTTTGTGTGCCGGCGTTGGATAGAATTAAGAGCAATTTGACCATCCGGAATGTTGCCATGCTTAGTAAGAACTTATTAAGGATTGATTCAAATAAATGCAAAACGAACATTAAACAATTTAAAAGAATAATAGAACAAGTTCGTGGCACTCGTAAAGAAACCGATCCAGGATTGAAGAATCTGAATGTATAAAATAGCCGAGTAAAGGATATATGAGGGAAAGAACAAGAGAATCTCCAACGAGAACCAGGGCCGAGCCGGATCCCGGTGTTGCGAACTTCCGAAAATCGCCGGCAGAGCAGAAGGCAAAGTTGGTGAGAGCGAACTCCTGGCTCGGCGTGTTCACAACGAT